TGCGGTAATTCTAATGGTAGCATTTTGAAAACGATTCTATGGCTGGTTTTGATTTTGAGTTTTGCGAAAAATGACGATTTCGCCGAGGTGGCGATTTTTCCGTGGCAGCTCCGCTTTGCGCCATCTTTTGACAATTACACTGATTTAACTGACAGTTAAGCTGTGTGGCCGTCAAAAGATGGCGCAAAGCGGAGATGCCACGGAAAAATCGCCACCTCGGCGAAATCGTCATTTTTCGCAAAACTCAAAATCAAAACCAGCCATAGAATCGTTTTCAAAATGCTACTATTAGAATTACCGCACCTCTGGACGTTTCTTTCTGTTAACTCTTTCTTTGCTAATTTTCAAAATTAAGCCTTTTACACATATATTTACCGAGATACAGCCAATTCAAATATCAAACATATCATCATGTTTTCTCAACATATTATTTAGAAAAATTAGTTGATGAGCAAGTAATAATAATTATAATGAGCCTGATAATAATTGGATATTAAAAATTTATGAATTTCTTTCTTCCTCATTTATGTAGACACTTTTTTATATCTTCAATCCTATAACAGCCTACAATCACTGTGTAGAAAATTTCTCTGTCTACAATCTCATCAGGATGTTGGATATCCACTAGAGTGAGTCCTGCCTCAACCAGGATGTTGGATATCCACTGGAGAGTCCTGCCTGAATCAGGATGTTCAATATCCACTGAAGAAAGTCCTGACAGAATCAGGATGTTAGATATCCACTGGAGAGAGTTCTGGTTGAATGAGGATATTCGATATCCACTGGAGAGAGTCCTGCCTGAAACAGGATGTTGGATGTCCACTGGAGAGAGTCCTGCCTGAATTAGGATGTTAGATATCCACTAGAGGGAGACTCAATTATTCTTCTGGATATCCTTGATCCTGACGACAATGAAAGCATATCTGAGAGCTGTTGATATCCTGCACTCTGAATATTGTAGAAGGCATCGCATCTATGGATATCTGCTTTCCTTTGATATAATTATGGTATGTTGTGCCTCAGTGGGACTCCTATTTACTCGTTACAGTCGCCGGATTCCTTCGTGGGTATTCTACACCCTGATTATAATGTAGGATGTCCATCATCCTGAGATATCCAATATGATTAAAATAATCAGGGCAAATTCCTCATAGTGGACATCTAGCATCATGATCCAGGCAGGAATCTCTCTAGTGGACATGTCCTTATTCAGGCAGGACTCTCTCCATGGACATCCAACATCCTGATTCAGGCAGGACTCTCTCCAGTGGACATTAAACATCCTGATTCTGGCAGGACTCTTTCCAGTGGAGATTCAGCATCCTAATTGAGGCAGAACTCTCTCCAGTTGATATCCAACATCCATATTCAACCAGGACTCTCTCTCCACTGGACATCCAACATCCTGATTCAGGCAAGACTCTCCAGTGGATATCCAACATCCTGATTCAGACAGAACTCTCCAGTGGATATCCAACATCCTGGTTTAGGCAGGACTCACTCTAGTGGATATCCAAAATCCTGGTTTAGGCAGGACTCACTCTAGTGGATATTCAACATCCTGAAGACATTGTAGACAGAGAAATTTTCTACACAGTGATTGTAGGCTGTTATAGGATTGAAGATATAAAAAAGTGTCTACATAAATGATGAAGAAAGAAATTCATAATTTTTTATTATCCAATTATTATCAGGCTCAATATAATTATTATTACTTGCTCATTAACTCATTTTTCTAAATAATATGTTGAGAAAACATGATGATATGTTTGATATTTGAATTGGCTGTATCTCGGTAAATATATGTGTAAAAGGCTTAATTTTGAAAATTAGCAAAGAAAGAGTTAACAGAAAGAAACGTCCAGAGGTGCGGTAATTCTAATGGTAGCATTTTGAAAACGATTCTATGGCTGGTTTTGATTTTGAGTTTTGCGAAAAATGACGATTTCACTGAGGTGGCGATTTTTCCGTGGCAGCTCCGCTTTGCGCCATCTTGACCGCCACACAGCTCAGCGGTCAGTTAAATCAGTAAATAATTGTCAAAAGATGGCGCAAAGCGGAGATGCCACGGAAAAATCGCCACCTCGGCGAAATCGTCATTTTTCGCAAAACTCAAAATCAAAACCAGCCATAGAATCGTTTTCAAAATGCTACTATTAGAATTACCGCACCTCTGGACGTTTCTTTCTGTTAACTCTTTCTTTGCTAATTTTCAAAATTAAGCCTTTTACACATATATTTACCGAGATACAGCCAATTCAAATATCAAACATATCATCATGTTTTCTCAACATATTATTTAGAAAAATTAGTTAATGAGCAAGTAATAATAATTATAATGAGCCTGATAATAATTGGATATTAAAAAACATGAATTTCTTTCTTCATCATTTATGTAGACACTTTTTTATATCTTCAATCCTATAACAGCCTACAATCACTGTGTAGAAAATTTCTCTGTCTACAATGTCATCAGGATGTTGGATATCCACTAGAGTGAGTCCTGCCTCAATCAGGATGTTGGATATCCACTGGAGAGTCCTGCCTCAATCAGGATGTTGGATATCCACTGGAGAGTCCTGCCTGAATCAGGATGTTCAATATCCACTGAAGAAAGTCCTGACAGAATCAGGATGTTAGATATCCACTGGAGAGAGTTCTGGTTGAATCAGGATATTCGATATCCACTGGAGAGAGTCCTGCCTGAAACAGGATGTTGGATGTCCACTGGAGAGAGTCCTGCCTGAATTAGGATGTTAGATATCCACTAGAGGGAGACTCAATTATTCTTTTGGATATCCTTGATCCTGACGACAATGAAAGCATATCTGAGAGCTGTTGATATCCTGCACTCTGAATATTGTAGAAGGCATCGCATCTGTGGATATCTGCTTTCCTTTGATATAATTATGGTATGTTGTGCCTCAGTGGGACTCCTATTTACTCGTTACAGTCGCCGGATTCCTCCGTGGGTATTCTACATCCTGATTATAATGTAGGATGTCCATCATCCTGAGATATCCAATATGATTAAAATAATCAGGGCAAATTCCTCATAGTGGACATCTAGCATCATGATCCAGGCAGGAATCTCTGTAGTGGACATACAACATCCTTATTCAGGCAGGACTCTCTCCACTGGACATCCAACATCCTGATTCAGGCAGGACTCTCTCCAGTGGACATTAAATATCCTGATTCTGGCAGGACTCTCTCCAGTGGAGATTCAACATCCTAATTGAGGCAGAACTCTCTCCAGTTGATATCCAACATCCATATTCAACCAGGACTCTCTCTCCACTGGACATCCAACATCCTGATTCAGACAGAACTCTCCAGTGGATATCCAACATCCTGGTTTAGGCAGGACTCACTCTAGTGGATATCCAAAATCCTGGTTTAGGCAGGACTCACTAGTGGATATCCAACATCCTGATGACATTGTAGACAGAGAAATTTTCTACACAGTGATTGTAGGCTGTTATAGGCTTGAAGATATAAAAAAGTGTCTACATAAATGATGAAGAAAAATTCATAAATTTTTAATATCCAATTATTATCAGGCTCATTATAATTATTATTACTTGCTCATTAACTCATTTTTCTAAATAATATATTGAGAAAACAATGATATGTTTGATATTTGAATTGGCTGTATCTCGGTAAATATATGTGTAAAAGCCTTAATATTGCAAATTAGCTAAGAAAGAGTTAACAGAAAAAAGCGTCCAGAGGTGCGGTAATTCTAATGGTAGCATTTTGAAAACGATTCTATGGCTGGTTTTGATTGAGTTTTGCGAAAAATGACGATTTCGCCGAGGTGGCGATTTTTCCGTGGCAGCTCCTCTTTGCGCCATCTTTTGACAATTATTTACTGATTTAACTGACCGCTGAGCTGTGTGGCCGTCATGTCCCGAGGCATCATGCTTGTTTCTATCTGTCAGTTTTTTATGATTTGATTTAATCATTGACTATTCTTTTTCTATAGGAAATAAGGTAATTAAAAATCAAAAGAAAACGAAACGTTTTTGCCGAAAAATGACCGACTAGCTGTGTGATACATCATACTGAACCGCTATATCTATATATTTATTTAAACAAGAGTTATTCACTCAATTATTCCCTGTTCATGAACATTTTTTGGATATCCTTGATCCTGACGACAATGAAAGCATATCTGATAGCTGTTGACATCCTGCACTCTGAATATTTAAAAGGCATCGCATCTATGGATATCTGCTTTCCTTTGATATAATTCTGTTATGTATGTCCACTTTCTTCAGTGGACACCTAGCCTCATGATTCAGGCAGGACTCTCCATTGGACATCCAACATCCTGATTGAAGCAGGACTCCCCAGTGGTTATCTAATATCCTGGTTCAACCAGGACTATCTCCAGTGGACATCCATCCTGATTCAGGCAGGACTGTCTAGTGGAGATTCAACATCCTGATATAGGCAGGACTCTCCAGTGGATACCCAACATCCTGTTTCAGGCAGGACTTTCTCTAGTGGATATCGAATATCATGATTCAACCAAGATTCTCTCCAGTGGATATCCAACATTCTGATTCAACCAGTACTTTCTACAGTAGATATCCAGTATCCTGATTCTGGCAGGGCTCTCTCTCCAGTGGACATGCAACATCCTGTTTCAGGCAGGATTCTCTCTAGTCTACGTCCAACATCCTGTTTCATGCAGGACTCTCCAGTGGATATCGAATATCCTGAGGTGGCATGAAAGTTCAATAGAAACCTTTTAGTGGTGCTAACTAACCTTTAAGTAAACTAGTGATAAACTCTCCTTGCCGGGAGAAGAGTAAAGTATAGTCGTGTAGAGTTCAGAGGATAGAAACTGGATACCAAGGACATACCAATTCATATTTATTACCAAATAATCAAAACATCAAGTTAAAAACCTTAATGAGCTTATAAATTGAAAATGGAAACCATTCCAAAGCTTTTTTTTTTTTTTAATAAAGGTTAAGTTAAAAAGTAACCAGAGGTAGTTAGAATATGTATTTTTGGAAAACTAGTACATCATGGAAGTCATTCAAGTTTCACCATCGAGACAAGATCATTACATGCTATGATGATTCAAGACAGGCGTGTGTAGGAACTAAACCCTCGGGTATCTAGCAATATATTTGGTAAATATTTTTATACAAATAATAGCGTAAATATTCAGTAACATTATTTGAAGTGGAGGAGTGTCGTGATGTTCAAAGGCTTGTCTCACAGACGACAGCCTTGACGTGGTGACAGGCAATGTCGTGCCACTTAATGCCGTCGTTATAGATGTTCTTCAGTACCCCGAGACAGTCCTCGTTGCCTTCCCTGTTGTCTGGCTGTGGTCGCCCCAGTCTGAGGACGAGAGGGCAGAGTTAATATCAGAACTTTCATCTTTTGAAACCGTAATCACAACACAAACAAGTTTAACTCAGTCATGGCTTCTGGCAGCCGTCAAGCCCTCATGAGTAACCTGCACTCTCAACAATGTAACTACCTTAAGCAAATTACCATGCAGGTCAAGCGACCTTAAATGACTACAGTAAAACCAGCCATACTAACCCTCCAGTGTGAGACCAGTTGGTGTAGGACAAAGTGTACCCGGATGACCACCTCCAGGTCGTTGTTCCTCGCTTGTTCCCGCTTGTCCAGATGAACTGGATCGGATCTAAGGAGACAGGTTGTACGTGTAAATTACGAGTCTTAATTAATATATTACACGTAAATAGCGAGTATTAGCCCAGGTAGCCTATCAAGTTCTTGTAGCTAGAACATATTAGGTTTAATGTATAATATGCCACGTTGAAGACTAATGCAAGAATATAAACTCACTTCTGGCGATGACGCTAGTTATGAAGTCGTCCTTATCCTTGTCTTGGATACTAACTAGCTGGAAGCCTCTGCCAAGACGCGAGCAGTAAGAGTTGGCTTGATCCCAGCTGTAGGTATTGGTATTCACGCACCATGAGAAGTGGTAGTTCTTACCAGCCCTCGTTTCGTGTATCTATGAAATGAAAAATAGGTTAAACAACAGATTAGATTGCGTGGTACCTAGATGAATGGGTTTAAAAGTCATGTTATACATACACAAAATTATATACACCGTCCTAGTCATGCAGTAATGAAGTAAAGCCATTCTATTAATCAGTATAGGAATCACTGCAGCTTTACTTACTATACCACCGGACCCTCCACAGGAAGGGTTCTGTGGAGGTGGCTGTGGCCTGGATGGTTGAGAGACCAAGGCTGGCTGGGCTTGTGGTAGAGGCTGGTAGATGAAGGGAAGCTGGGGTTGTGTGAGTTGGGGCGAGGAAGGCTGAGACACGAAGCTTAATTGGGGTTGGAGAGGCTGGGGCAGAGACGCAAAGGAAGGCTGAGGTTGTGGGAGAGGTTGGGGCTGAGACACGAAGGAAGGCTGGGGAAGGGACTGGGGCACGAAGGGAGGCTGGGGTGAGGAAGGCAGAGACACGAAGCTTAACTGGGGTTGTGAGGAGGGCTGGGGAAGAGACGCAAAGGAAGGCTGGGGTTGTGGTTGGGGCGGAGACACTATGTGAATCTGAATTGTTGAATTGGCACCCCAGGAGTTGAATTGGAGGGAAGGTTGTGCAGCTCGAGGGACCTGCGGGGCGTTAGAAGGAACAAAAGGCGTTTGAAACCTTCTCAAGTCTTGGGAAGATTGTGGAAGGCTTTGTCCTGAAGGAAGAGGACCTTGGGGAGGAGAGAAGATGGGGCCAGACAACCGGTTCTCCTCAGGGGACGGGAAGAACACCAAGGAGCCATCAGGAGCTGTGAAGTGGTCCCCAGAGACCACACACGTCCACAACAGTATTATGAAGACATTCATTCTGAAATCAAGAGTTAATGTTAAAAACCATGTCAATACCTTAAATGTTACTTTAGAATACTTAATTCTCTCCATGCAGAATATAAAGAGTATTAGCGTGTGAATGGAGTAGTCACCCGTGGCTACATTTCGTCAAGTATTTTAAGGGGTGCGCTAGTAGTGAGGTTATCTTTAGATGATTTCGGGGCTTTAGTGTCCCCGCGGCCCGGTCCTCGACCAGGCCTCCACCCCCAGGAAGCAGCCCGTGACAGCTGACCAACACCCAGGTACCCATTTTACTCCTAGTTAACAGGGGCATAGGGTGAAAGAAACTTTGCTCATTGTTTCTCGCCGGCGCCCGGGATCGAACCCGGGACCACATAATTACAAGTCCAGCGTGCTGTGAGCTCTGCCAATCGGCTCCCGGTACCTAGCCTTACTCGCTTAAGCAATACACAGTCGTAGTGACTTGTGACTTTCTAGACCTTTTGAGGTACTAGAAGTATTGTAGCTAGAATTGGTCACAGGAATAATGACCAAGTCTGAAATGTTTACTGGCCTAGTTTGAATTACCAGTCAAGTCGTGTATTACATGGTAACTTACCTACCAGTTTAAGAATTAACAGGCGGCGATCCCGATGCTGTATTTCAATAGTAGCTTTACATAACTTAGATTCAGTTGTGGTTTCTAGTGGAGGCCTTCCCAGAAAGATTTGAAGCTTTAAATAGGAGCATCTATAGAACGGCAAAAGTTGAAATTTTAATTAGTGGTTTGAAAACTAGGCGTTTGCTAGGGATGGTCAAGGAATGTATTAAAGTATTTAAGAATACACCGTTAGAGGTCTGGTAGTATAAGCGAAAATACCATTTTGCTAATTTCGAGTAGCTAGCGTTTTAGTTCATATTCATGAATTCATTTTATGAAATTAAGCTGTTAACTATATATTTATGAAATTTAGTTCAACTCCACTATTCAACCTATGAAATTTTGTAGTTACATTTCTAAAGATTGCTAGATACGTGCAGTATGTAGAATAACTAAGAATTTAGTCTTTTCAGTATCTCAGGCTTTTTTAAACTGTTTAACCGCTATTACTGTATCCTGACCTTTACCCGAGAAGGTAAAATAATTTATGTTTAGAATAATGAATAAGTTACCCTGTTGGGGATGCATTATGCAAAATATTGTCCGTAAATTAAATAAAAAAAAAGTTAAAACAATTATAGTACAAGTATGTACTTTTATGAAATGTGGAAAGGTTAAATCTTTGAAGAACACTTAACTGCTATACGTCATAATATTAAGTAAACTTTAAGACAGCAGTGAGTAAAGTCATACACCAATTTGTGTCGAGTTAGTTGTAATAATAACCTGTGAAACTAATTATATACACATACCAACTAAACTTAAAGTACACCTGGAATATATTCAAACCATATATAACCTTAAGTTACTATATATTACTACACTAAACATACCTGACACTGAGCACTTAACGAGAGCCAAGCCCACACTGACAACATGCTGTCTCGTGGTCCCTTTTATAACCAGCAGCCAACCGAACCCGGCCGCTGATTGGTTGACATTCACGCTAACCCTCACCCCATTGGTTAACATTTTGCCGAGTCTGAAGTGTCAATTAACAATGGCCAACAGCCACTCCTTCACTTCCCCAAATACGAACGAGTCTAATGAACCAATAATGATCCCAAGCTTCAATGTTTGAAGTTGTTAGGTTCACGTCTGGTACTCTAAACAAACGCTTCAGGGTAGTTATGGTCCGTCAGTCAAGAACTGGTAATCACCACTTGACAGGTGAAACTACCTAAAGTTCCTGCTTGACACCTGCTTGATATCTGCTTGATATCTGCTTGATATCTGCTTCATACCTGGTTAATGGGGTTCTGGGAGTTCTTCTACTGCTCAAGCCCGGCCCGAGGCCAGGCTTGACTTGTGAGAGTTTGGTCCACCAGGCTGTTGCTTGGAGCGGCCCGCAGGCCCACATATACCTGGTTGATGTGGTTCTGGGAGTTCTTCTACACCCCAAGCCCGGCCCGAGGCCAGGCTTGACTTGTGAGAGTTTGGTCCACCAGGCTGTTGCTTGGAGCGGCCCGCAGGCCCACATATACCTGGTTGATGGGGTTCTGGGAGTTCTTCTACTGCCCAAGCCCGGCCCGAGGCCAGGCTTGACTTGTGAGAGTTTGGTCCACCAGGCTGTTGCTTGGAGCGGCCCTCAGGCCCACATATCCATTCTTAACACTCACAACACTCTCAAGTATCACCTGATTTGACTTCAAAGAATCCCCGAGAGTAATTCAAATCCTGTATTCACTGTAGCAGTGGAATACAACTCAAATATTGATTAACGTAATTAATTGATATGATATTGAATTAAATGTAATTTCAAATATATTTTTAATTTCCTGTATTTTTACCACAAGCTTATTCACCCCATGGAACCGCCTACCCGCCGAAGCTGTAAATGATCAGAAAAAAATCCTTAGGAAAAATGTAGGGATATTTGACAAGCCGCTGAATTCCTGTCCTTATCGAGGCCCCCCTCTAGTGAGTCTTCAGGTAAATTCAGGTAAATCAAATCAAAAATATTTAAAAAAAAAAGTAGCAGATTTCACAATCGTCCCTTTCATGATTATTTTTAGAGGAAGGGGAAAAATTACGTAATTGAGCTTATCATAACGACCTGGTTCGTGTCCCGGAAGGGTCGTTAGCGATGACCCCAAACGACTGATTGGTAAAACAGTCGTCTCTCGACCCCTTAGATGGTGATTGGTTAGAAATTTAGGTCACTGTGAGACTCTAACAGTGTGTGTTTGTGGGAATTTGATGGTATAGTGATGTTTATCATGGCTAAGTGTGTGTTTCGGTCTTGTATTATGTGCACACACACACACACACACACACACACACACACACACACACACACACACACACACACACACACACACACACACACACACACACACACGCACACCCCCTCCCCCCCCCCACACACACCCTCCAACATAAATTAACTGTGAAGTACCGAAAACAGAGTAACACCTTCATGGGCATAATTAGACTGTGGAGCTTGTTAAGTGTGGGGGGCTGTTCCCCCCCCCTGACTCTCCCTTCAAGGGTCACCCTCACCCTTGACCTCCCACTCCAGATCCCTCTGATAGGTAGGACGGTCACTCTCCTATCTTCTCTACTGTGGAGGGTGAGGTCTACTGTAGAGAGGTCTACTGTAGAGGGTGAGGTCTACTGTAGAGGATGAGGTCTACTGTGGAGGATGAGGTCTACTGTGGAGGATGAGGTCTACTGTGGAGGATGAGGTCTACTGTGGAGGATGAGGTCTACTGTGGAGGGTGAGGTCTACTGTGGAGGATGAGGTCTACTGTGGAGGGTGAGGTCTACTGTGGAGGGTGAGGTCTACTGTGGAGGATGAGGTCTACTGTAGAGGGTGAGGTCTACTGTGGAGGATGAGGTCTACTGTAGAGGATGAGGTCTACTGTGGAGGATGAGGTCTACTGTGGAGGGTGAGGTCTACTGTGGAGGGTAAGGTCTACTGTGGAGGGTGAGGTCTACTGTGGAGGATGAGGTCTACTGTGGAGGGTGAGGTCTACTGTAGAGGATGAGGTCTACTGTGGAGGATGAGGTCTACTGTGGAGGGTGAGGTCTACTGTGGAGGGTAAGGTCTACTGTGGAGGGTGAGGTCTACTGTGGAGGGTGAGGTCTACTGTGGAGGGTGAGGTCTACTGTGGAGGATGAGGTCTACTGTAGAGGATGAGGTCTACTGTGGAGGATGAGGTCTACTGTAGAGGATGAGGTCTACTGTAGAGGATGAGGTCTACTGTAGAGGATGAGGTCTACTGTAGAGGGTGAGGTCTACTGTGGAGGATGAGGTCTACTGTAGAGGGTGAGGTCTACTGTGGAGGGTGAGGTCTACTGTGGAGGATGAGGTCTACTGTGGAGGATGAGGTCTACTGTGGAGGATGAGGTCTACTGTGGAGGGTGAGGTCTACTGTGGAGGGTGAGGTCTACTGTGGAGGATGAGGTCTACTGTGGAGGGTGAGGTCTACTGTGGAGGGTGAGGTCTACTGTGGAGGATGAGGTCTACTGTGGAGGGTGAGGTCTACTGTAGAGGATGAGGTCTACTGTAGAGGATGAGGTCTACTGTGGAGGGTGAGGTCTACTGTGGAGGATGAGGTCTACTGTAGAGGGTGAGGTCTACTGTAGAGGGTGAGGTCTACTGTGGAGGATGAGGTCTACTGTGGAGGATGAGGTCTACTGTGGAGGATGAGGTCTACTGTAGAGGATGAGGTCTACTGTGGAGGGTGAGGTCTACTGTGGAGGATGAGGTCTACTGTGGAGGATGAGGTCTACTGTGGAGGGTGAGGTCTACTGTGGAGGATGAGGTCTACTGTGGAGGATGAGGTCTACTGTAGAGGGTGAGGTCTACTGTGGAGGGTGAGGTCTACTGTGGAGGATGAGGTCTACTGTGGAGGATGAGGTCTACTGTGGAGGGTGAGGTCTACTGTGGAGGATGAGGTCTACTGTAGAGGATGAGGTCTACTGTGGAGGGTAAGGTCTACTGTGGAGGGTGAGGTCTACTGTGGAGGATGAGGTCTACTGTGGAGGATGAGGTCTACTGTGGAGGGTGAGGTCTACTGTGGAGGATGAGGTCTACTGTGGAGGATGAGGTCTACTGTGGAGGATGAGGTCTACTGTAGAGGGTGAGGTCTACTGTGGAGGGTGAGGTCTACTGTGGAGGATGAGGTCTACTGTGGAGGATGAGGTCTACTGTGGAGGATGAGGTCTACTGTAGAGGGTGAGGTCTACTGTGGAGGGTAAGGTCTACTGTGGAGGATGAGGTCTACTGTGGAGGATGAGGTAGTCCTTGAGTCACTTCAGAGCAGGACGTTATCTCACCAAGATATCAATTAAATAAATTCTTTCATTAAATAAATAAAATAAAGTAAATAAAATAAAATAAATAAATTCTAAATTAAAAATTTTAATTAGATAAATTCTTGTTATCAAAGAAAACGGTCAATTTAAAGTGGTCTCTCCTAACCTACCAGAGGACCCAAATCAGAAAACGGGACAATACCGAATTTTTTTTAGCCTATTGTAACCCCGGGGGGGGGGGTCGGTCGGCCGAGCGGACAGCACGCTGGACTTGTGATCCTGTGGTCCTGGGTTCGATCCCGGGCGCCGGCGAGAAACAATGGGCAGAATTTCTTTCACCCTATGCCCCTGTGACCTAGCAGTATAATAGAAACCTGGGAGTTAGTCAGCTGTCACGGGCTGCTTCCTGGGGGTGGAGGCCAGGTCGAGGACCGGGCCGCGGGGACACTAAAGCCCCGAAATCATCTCAAGATACTCTTTGAGCAACATCAATTCATCCCAATAGGAATGAATTGGGATGCCAGATTCACGAAGCAGTTACGCAAGCACTTACGAACGTGTACATCTTTCCTCAATCTTTGACGGCTTTGGTTACATTTATTAAACAGTTTACAAGCATGAAAACTTGCCAATCAACTGTTGTTATTGTTATAAACAGCCTCCTGGTGCTTCCGAGCTCATTAACTGTTTAATAATTGTAAACAAAGCCGCCAAAGATTGAGAAAACATGGACAGGTTCGTAAGTGCTTGCGTAATTGCTTCGTGAATCTGGCCCCTGGTTCGTAAGTGCTTGCGTAAGCGCTTCGTGAATCTGGCCCCCAGGTTCGTAAGTGCTTGCGTAACTGCTTCGTGAATCTGGCCCATGGTTCGTAAGTGCTTGCATAACTGCTTCGTGAATTTGGCCCCAGGTTCGTAAGTGCTTGCGTAACTGCTTCGTGAATCTGGCCCCTGGTTCGTAAGTGCTTGCGTAAGCGCTTCGTGAATCTGGCCCCCAGGTTCGTAAGTGCTTGCGTAACTGCTTCGTGAATCTGGCCCATGGTTCGTAAGTGCTTGCATAACTGCTTCGTGAATTTGGCCCCAGGTTCGTAAGTGCTTGCGTAACTGCTTCGTGAATCTGGCCCCTGGTTCGTAAGTGCTTGCATAACTACTTCGTGAATCTAGCCCCAGGTTCGTAAGTGCTTGCGTAACTACTTCGTGAATCTGGCCCCAGGTTCGTAAGTGCTTGCATAACTACTTCGTGAATCTAGCCCCAGGTTCGTAAGTGCTTGCGTAACTGCTTCGTGAATCTGGCCCCTGGTTCGTAAGTGCTTGCGTAACTGCTTCGTGAATCTAGCCCCAGGTTCGTAAGTGCTTGCGTAACTGCTTCGTGAATCTAGCCCCAGGTTCGTAAGTGCTTGCGTAACTGCTTCGTGAATCTGGCCCCTGGTTCGTAAGTGCTTGCGTAACTACTTCGTGAATCTGGCCCCAGGTTCGTAAGTGCTTGCGTAACTACTTCGTGAATCTGGCCCCAGGCCGTGAATCAGGTTCAGAACAGGTCCTATACACGGGAAGTTGTTGTTTAAGATTCGCTACCAGGAACAAAAGTCCCAGGTAGCACGGGCTATGGCGATCCCGTAAAACACGGAAAAGAGTGAGACACTCAGGTCAGGCGAGACAAGAACCAGACAGAATCGAACGGCTGAGCGGAAGGAATCAGACAAGGACGAAGAAAAATGAGACTGAGATCGTATCAATTCGTTCAGCAAGATATATCTAAGTCGCCAGAGGTCAGGAGGTCATTCCCTGCCTGGTAACAGCCGGGGTCAGCAAACCTAACTATCGGAGTGCTGCACACACACACACATATATATATATATATATATATATATATATATATATATATATATATATATATATATATATATATATATATATATATATATATATATATATATATATGTGTGCAGCACTCAGCACATATATATATATATATATATATATATATATATATATATATATATATGATATATATATATATATATATATATATATATATATATATATATATATATATATATATATATATATATATATATATATATATATATATATATATATATATATATATATATATATATATATATATATATATATATATATATATATATATCATCATTAGCTCTATCTCTTGCTCAGAAAATGTAATACTTTAATCTAAATTAATTCACGTTCATCGTTTTCGAGTAAAACATGAAAATGTGACATGGGTAAAAACACAAGCCTCAAAACTCTAGGGAAAACCACATTACTTATTTCACTTCAGGCTTCATGATAATCGCAGAGGGTCGTTATAGATGGCGAAATTTCTTAAAGTGTGGCACTGGGGGTTGATCCGGACTGGCCTATGACACTCCTACACTCCCAGTGTGTCATCTTGGAAAGTTGAGAGAAGCTAACCGTAAGCATTTGCCCCTCTAACCTTGAACAAACTGACAGACATTTTCTCTTTTTTGCAGACATATCCACCCTGTTCTGACACTCCGTTACTCCGTAACAAACAGAACTGTTTGGCTGCAGATTCGTACTAAACCTATCCGGATCGATGCATTTAAAAACGCCAGTATTAAAATTTGTATGAAACGTCGGATTTGTAACGAATTGGTCGTTTCCGTAACAAACGCGATGTATTAGGTGAAAGGACAAGCTGCTAAATCAGCCAGTTAGAGCGATGGCCCAATTGGCTACGGTCGGTAAAGTGCCGGATGCTGCAGCCTCTCTGCCGGATGGAAATCCGGTCAAGATCACTTAAGATGAAACCAAAAGCCTGGAATTCATCAAGCATTTATACGAATCCGCTGACGAAACCTATGCATCTTTTGTGCATCTGGCGAGAATCATTGGGCAGAGTTTCTTTCACCCTATGCCTCTGTTACCTAGCAGTAAAATAGATACCTGGGTGTTAGCCAGCTGTCACGGGCTGCTTCCTGGGGGTGGAGGCTTGGTCGAGGACCGGGCCGCGGGGACACTAAAAAAAGCCCCGAAATCATCTCAAGATAACCTCAAGATCTCAAGATAACCTGTACATCTTTTCTCAATTAGGGGTGAGTTTGTTTGCACTGGTTAACTACCATTACTAGTAAACTAGGTTGTTTATAACGATAACAACTTTGGGGGGTTGTGAACTCTTCAAATTTGGGAGAACTTCTTACTGCCTCCTTGACATAAACTTGTTACAATGTAATTTTTATGAAGAAGTTGGGGACTTGGTGGGGAAGGGGGG